AACCAATTTTAAATGCTCAAGTCTTATAATAACTTCTCGTGGTTAATCACAAAGAAAAAATAGCGCACAAATTCTCTTCTTGTGAGGAAAGCACTTTCTTTTCTGTATCGGTCCTTTGGATACTGTGTCTCATTCGAAAAAATATCTACATCCGTGATGTTGACATCAGCTGCTTCTCTGAGCACTCCGGTGATGAAGACGTCATCTATCTTAAAATGGGGTGAAGTCAGGTCAATGAGTAATGAAAACGCGGAAGATTTTTCTGAAAGGAAGATGAAGTCTAATTCATCAATTATGAAAGCTAATGAATTCATAATTGAAATAGAATTGTGTGAATGATTACCCAGAAAAAGCGATGCGTGTGAACAACACTGAGAATCTTTTTCACAGCTGAGAGAGTGGTCAGATAACACCATCCTCGGCAGTACAATGGGTACGTTGTTCCACTATACTCATCCGTCGTTGTTCTCCTAAACAGCTGTATGGAGTTCTGATAACATTTATCTACAAGTGTTTTGAGAGAAGTTGATGCTTGCGCTCTCCTGAGACGAAGTTGTCATTGAGTATCTGCTTTAACTGACTCGTCGTATAGGACATTTCCATTTCGAGAGCGCTGAGGGTAGCTCAGGAATCAGCATTTGAACATGACAGGGTTAGAACTGCGGAAGACCTGGGACGGTAGTAACGCCCCTTAAACAGCCAGTCTATAGTTGGCCAATAGGTCGCGTTGACGTTGCCTTCGTCAGCACCTAAAAAGCATTAGGGAAGGCGGGAAACTCGCGCTGACCTGCCGCAATGGGCGAGGTCTAGGCAACAATCTCCATGCACTTTCCCTTTCTCTGCAGTCATGCACTGGTCTCATTGGGGGTCTCTGCGTCCCTGCCATGCGCAGAGCGCAGTTAAGGGGGGGGGGTGTGGGTGTTGAGTGTGGTCCGCAAGTAAACCACTGGAGCCATGGATAATAATGATAACTTTCTGCCAATAAGGTGATCAGCTGCCCCCTGCAGTGTTCCACTTATTGATCGTGTTATCTTGTCGTCGCTCCTTCCTTGGTCCTGGGAGCAGTTCACCCCTGTACAATCATCTAGGTCATGATACCACGGTTAAAATAAGTGGGCTTCCTTGTTGATATTGGATCGCTCGCGGGACCAATTCTACATGATACTTGATGCTGTGCAACCCTATAGGTTACTACCTTGCTTTCTACAGTTCTTTCAAAGTAATCCAGCAATGCTTTGTGGTGCAGTGGCAAACATCCCGGTCATGGTCACTTCCTTACATGTTCAAGTCCATGGCGACGCGACTTTTGCTAGGAATGTGGTGAAGTTTGCCATTCAGTGCGGGGTCATCTGGCTGCCTCGCCTCTCATTATTCGCCATTCACGGCCGTAGACTACCACCTTTAACTACCAGTCTATGGCACTTTACTACCGTCCCTGAAAGAATACCAACCGGCCAAAATCATATCATATAATGTGAGGTTGTGGTTGTAGTAAGAGTTGGCGATCGCCAACTTCTACCATGACCACAACATCACATTGAATCGCGTGAGTATATATGATCTTCGCTAGCCTTTTCTCTCCCTTCATTCTTATAACACTTTGTAGTACAATTTACTTATTTTATTTGCCTTTTATGGTCACTCCATGAACTTTAATCTAGCTCTAATAACCCTTTTCCGTCATTATGTTGTTTATAAAATTTAACAAGTTGATATAACCCGCTCTACACCAATAAAATTATTCATTGACAGGCACGCTGAGTATCAAACGTAAGTCTGTTTGAATTTACCTAATTTGCGCCCTATCGCACTTTTTGGCCTGTTTGATCTATTCATATGTTTTACTTCCATTTGGTCTATTTTAACATCTTCATTTGCCGCCTCTTGACTCTATAATCCTATCTCACTTTACTTCTATTCTATTCTAACTTTATTCGTCTTTCTTTATTTTTTCTTCGTTCTCTTTGTGCTTGCATACTTGCTAATCTACTTAATTTTTTTCCTCATTTAATAATCACCACCTTTCCCAATTGTTTTTGCAACCTTACTGACTGAAGAGTCTCAAGGGTTGCCGAGAACGATTCTCTCTCACTGTGTTCTTCCATTCTCCACAAGAATGTAAGTTCAGTAGGTCGGCAAGCCATCACCATAACCCGTCGGCGTCAGATAAACCGTGTTGTGCACATGAAATGCACACTTACACCGAGCTTTACGACGCAGACTGTGTCGCAACATCATTTAATATCCTTTTGCTCGAGAAGGATGCTTCTCAGAGGCGATAATGATGCAGTGCAGTTACAGATATCAAGGCAACAGACATCTCGGAAGTTTCCAAATCTGGCATAGTAGTTCTAATGTGCGAGACGTTAGAAAAGGTTGACAGGGCTTCCTTGCTGTAGTATCCTTCACACTGCAAATTCAACTTTGTCCGATTGAGGGTGCAGTCATCTAAAGCGGAGTCTCGCTCAAAAACTAGCTTACCACGATCATTTCTGCCTTTCACATAATAGTATTTCTTTGCTAGTGTTTCTTTGCTAGTGTTATTTCGACGTAAGGTGTTGAAGCTTTTGGGAATTCCAAGTGGAAACTTTTTTTGAACGGTTCAATCTCCTTTCCATAGCAGGGGCCTTCGCCTGATCTGTTCGGGATTCCTTAGGTTTTCATACAAGGGTTCTTCATGCAGGCCGCAGCTTTATTTCGCAGCAGTTCATGACACTGGATGTGCGTTCTCGTGTGCTGTGTCGATGCGCTTACACACGGATACGCTGAGCCATCTTCATACGCTGACACCATAGACCTTCACATTGTACCAAAAACAACAAAAAAACCCATACGGCCAACAAACCTCCCCCTCCCCTAGTCCTTTGAAGGACTAATCTTTAGGGGTCTAGGAAAAGAAGTGTGTAAGTTTCAATCTTCCCTAAGGTTCTTTCCCTCCTTCTAGACTCAGTCTCCATATGCGTCACCCGACGTTCAGGGTCCAACTGAATACAAGCTTACAAATTTGAGTGCTAACTTAAATGGGGGGGGGCACGCGGCGGCGCGGCAGTCTGCTCGCCTGGCATGTTCGGAAATCCGTGGGCCGGGGGGAGTGTAGGCAGTCTAGGGGGTGGGGGGTGGGGGCAGTCACTTGACATGCGTGAAAAGCTGGAATGTTCGAGTTAACACCGTCTCGCTCGAGAGAACCCAAGTGAGCAGACTGCCGCGCCGCCGCGCCCCCCCCCCCACCTAACTTAGCACCCAAATTTGACCATTCAAATGAAATGATCTATGCTATGACACAATGCCACCGAAAACAGTGACGATGCAGCGCCGTGGTCATCTCCAGTTTCTCTTTTCCACTCCCTGCAGCAATTTTCTGTTTTGATGTGAAGAGACGGTGCTCTCTGACGAAGGTCGCGGTGGCGCCCGAAATTCAACGTTGTTGGCGTCAATTGCACTGAGGAGTGCATTTCATGTGCACCACACAGTTTATCTGACGCCAAGTGGTTATGGTAATGGTTTGCCGACCTACTGGAGTTACATTCTTGCTCATTCTCCACCAATCTTTTTTTAAGCATCTTGTATTGTATGAATTGACAACTTGATTTTGTCTTCCCACTACACTTTATGGGTTGACAAAAACGATTGTGGCTCCTCCGAGTAAAAGAAAAAACAAACCACCCTCTTGTTCGTAACTGATCGTTTTATAACTTGTTAGTTTATTGCGTATTTCGGGTGATATGCGAGTATTTAGTCTGGGTAGTTGGGTCGGCGCAAACTTTGGGAACATCTTTATTAAGTGCCATCGCCATCACAGTGGTCTATCACCGTCATCCATCTATCGCAAGTGTACAATTACTACTGTCCCAGAATTACGCTGTGCTCGATGCGAGGAATAGTTAGAAGTCCACTCTGTGGTGTTTGCGCTTATCGTAGTTTTTCGCCTTAAGGGAACAGGCAAGCGAGCGAAAGAGCTTAAGCTTGGTTGGAACACCGTCGGCGGTTTATGAATAACGGGATGAATCATGGAGATGTGCTTCTGTATAGTTTTTTGGAGTTCGGTCATGACATGGGGGTTGGGAGTTACCGCGCACTGGAACACTTTCATCTGTGAGATAGCCAAAACTTTGCCATTCCCAAAGCAATTAGTTCGAAGAAATGACAACTCTAAGCTACCATCCTTCTAGGAGGATGGAAAATAGAAGATTGCCGAATGTTGGCTCATAATAGAGGGTGGTGGTCCAGCGATCTTCGAGCAGTTTCGTTTTTCATTATACAGGAGGTCAAAGACGACTAACACATCACATTTGAAACAGAATTGATTACACTGTGCTGAATTCAAGTCGGATGCTCTTAACTAATTAACTAAACAAATTAACTAAAAAGTAGAAAGCACTTCCCATATAACCTAAAAACTTTACAGTAGCCTTCTACACCGACGACATCAGAGAAATTTGGTGCGAGAGCATGGTGCATGGTATGAACTTGACGAGGTCTTCAGTGAATTGCAGGCCATTGCGACGCTGTAAAACGCAGTATGGAAGTGGTCTTGCACAGTCGCGCTACTGCCTGTAGGAGGTTAGCCCTCAGTCAGCTAATTGAAGAACTTATGGAGCAGCTCATTACAATTACAGTAGGTCCCCTCAAGATCGACGGTGATGACATATGACGCCGTATTCTCTGGCCAGTAAGGGAAGTGAAGGAGCAATGAACGTTCCGTTTGTGGAGGGGGAGATTCACAAGATACCTGCCAACAGATATATAGAAGATAGAAGATAGACGACCAAAGGTCTGCACATGTGCGTCACTAGCATAACGACTTTTCCCACGTTTGACCTTTTCCACGTATTTGTCAAAGTTTCTCGGTGACATTCCTCGCAATCCAATACCATCACCCACCTTGCTGTACCTTCAACCTCACCTGGGCTAAAGTATAGTTTTTTATGCGTTACTTATATTTGTCCATTTTGAATCAACTTCGGTAGCTTTCACATGGAATAACAGTACATTATCACTACTCACCATTTGGATTTCTCGTCTCTTATAGGCGCTTCATTCATCCTGAAAGTGAAGAACTCATCCCAAAATTTCACCGAAAATTACTGATTTTTTTGAAACTTGTCGGAATGCTAAACATGGAGGACAAAGGACAACAACGTTTGAAGGAGACCGCTAGGTAACAATCGAGCCTGTACTAAAACCGAGTTCACGAAGTTTCGAGGTACAAGGTTCCAGCTCGTGAGACCCTTCCAGAATAAGTCTAATAGAAAGTGATTCAGTCTGCAAGCGCGAGTGTTGTGCCATATCTCAAGCGCAGAAGGTAGCCAATTATAGGGTTGGAGAAATTCGTTGCGACAATTTGAAGTTTCCTTCAAATGTTTCCTAGAAGTTCCCAGAAAATTCATCGACGGCGTTCTATGAAGGAGCTCGTGGGCTATTAAGATGTTCAATAAGAAATTTCCCATCTCTACGCCTGCAATCAAGAATGACTTCTCACAGCTTACTCCTTGGCTCCAACGCTGACGAGGCGGCCGTGCGAATGCCAATGTCAATGCCATGATGGGCGCAGAGACCAGGGTCAAGCTCGCGTTGAGGAATCCTCGACATGTCACAGAGGGGGGGGGGTCGTATTGGCCCGCTGGGGAGAGATCGGGCCCAATTGATAAGTAGGATCATCGTCGGAGGACAAACATTAAGGATCGAATCGATACCAGGCCAGAGTATTTCCAATAACAATTGATTCCGTCCACACAAAATCTTCGTGATTTAAAGGTGTCCGCTTAGCAATTCTTAGTGACTTTAGTGCTTCATCACCACACAAGTCAAAGGATCCGAAATCAGCACGTTTTCTAAGGATATTTTATCATTCAAGTAGGTCCTCAAATCCAACGAGATGTGAAGCACAGGGCGCATCCCAGAGAGGGCCCAGTTGGTTGCCCGCGCTTCAGCTACGGCTATCTTGATAACGAATCTTAATTCAGGAAGAATCAAGAGGGTTCTGAAAGAGTTCATGTTAAATTACAGAGAGGAGTACACTATTCAACAAGAAACGCAGCCTTCAGCGTCAAATTCACAAGCATGTAACCTTTAATGTTGAAACTCGCTAAACAATTTTACACTTCTTGCAGAGAGAAAAGCACGAGGATTTTGAATCCGCTCCTACTTCAGTATGTAATCGCCCCTGCAAGGAGCTATAGTCGTTGGGATAGTGCTAATGTAGCGAAAAAGTACCTTTCGGCGGTACTCGGGCAAAAATCCTCAACGTGGCCATTTTTTAAAAAGTGAACGTATTTAGCAGGTTTAGTTGCCTCTAGAAAGAGCAAATCTTCTAGCTTATGACGACGTATTAACTTTTCAGATTGCTTGATTTTGAACGGAGTTATAGCTTTGGAAAGGGTAAAAACTCGTACTCATCACGAATTTTCCTCGTTAATTTTGCAAAAAATCCTCAACCTGGCCATTTTTTGAGTACTGGACGTATGAAGCTGTTCGGCGACCGTTTGATAGAGAAAATCTTCTAGTTTTGTATGACGTATTAGCTTTCCAGGTTGCATGAGCTTGAACGGAGTTATGGCTTTAGAAAGACTAAAAACTCGCACTCATTACGAATTTTCCTCGTTAATTTTGCAAAAATCCTCAACCTGGCCATTTTTTGAGTACTGGACGTATGAAGCTGCTTCGGCGACCGTTCGAAAGAGAAAATCTTCTAGTTTTGTACGACGTATCAACATTTTGAATTTGACGGAAATGAAGCAAGTTATTGCTCCGGAAAGTGTAAAAACTCGTGCTCGTCTCGAATTTTCCTCGTTAATTTTGCAAAAATCCTCAACCTGGCCATTTTTTGAGTACTGGACGTATGAAGCTGCTTCGGCGACCGTTCGAAAGAGAAAATCTTCTAGTTTTGTACG